CCCTAGTGGTACAATAAGGAACTAAAATCTTGATCAACTTTTCTATAACATGTGTATAACTTCTACCGAGACTAAAACATGACAGTGAAAGATCCTTCAGATATGCGTCTATATTTGTTGATACTGTTATGTTTTTATTAATTCTAATTTATTGTTCTTATTTTAATTTACTAAAACACGATAATTTATATCAATTTATTAAACCACTATACAACAATTTATTTGACTAATAATTACATAATTTATTTATACGTGCGTTACATTTTAAAACGCGACTCGATTTATCTTCTCTGCCTGACTTCTTTCAATGAAAATCATGTTATATACTCATACAGCTGTTAGACTAGAAGGATGTCGACCCTTGTCGAAAATACTGGAAGGCTACGGCTGGTTTTTTTCATTCAACGTATTTCCGGACCGTTCGAATGGACCGGTTCTTTTTTATTACTTGGAATTTCCGCTAGCTAGTCGAAGGGTCGTAGAATCTAGAACATATTAGTGAATAAACAACATGTTTACAGGTTTTTTAATATGACTAATTTTTACGTAACAATACAATTAACGGTATACGCAACAGATAGAATGACAACCTTCCATAGAGGTATCAATCCGCCAATGAAAAGGCAGAATTACTTCTAGAGAGGAAGAAGAAAAAAGGCTTTAAATATTAAACAATCTTTGGAAATATATAGTATATATCAATATCTTCTAATTTTTAATAATCTGGGTTAAACTGGATAGTTTTCTAAACGTTACTGCTGTGACTGTTTCATAGTCACTCGTGTTCTATGGTCTGGTTATAAACCACTCGTTAGAATTATACGTCTCCCGATTTGAATTTTATTGTAATTAAACGAAACTTGGTTCGTTTGGTGTTAGGTAATACTATTTGTTGTCCAAAAAATGAGAATTGATATTATCTTAATTTAAGATTACTCATTATGCTCCAAACATATTTAATCGTGTAATCCAAACATATGTCTCAGAAACAATTGTTTGAGTAATAAATACGATTTCGAAAAGTAAAAAGGGCGTAAAAATGTTCTAAAAATATTTATTATATATTAATATATAAATGATTCTAAAAAGTTTAATTTGTTCTTCCACTGTGTTTTATTTTAATATATTTGAAAGTGTTTAAATTATTCTTCTTCTCCCAAGTCATTCTTCTTTCTATATTGTGCTTGCTCTGAATATTTCCTTTTATAATAACTATAATAATTAATATTTTCTAGCTGTCTTGTTTTAATTGCCAATTATATTTTTGTTTGTTTCCCCTTTGGAGTACTTAGTGGTTCGTCATTTATGTATCCGGATTTTTAAGATTAATTGCATCAATTGCCTATGTTCATATCTAGACATCGCTATATCAAATCATTAAACATACACAAGACATTTTATTACCTGGTTCATTTCTAAATCCAAATGGTGCCTGTCTTGGCTTTCAATATTACATTTATGTTACGATTAATGTTATTAACCATTTGTTAATTGAATGTGGTTAAATAGTTCCACAATTATCTCTAAACCATCAGTCATCAGGATGCTTCGCTACTACTAATTCCATTAATTATATGTACCACTTCTTTTCTTGTTAAATCTGGTCTTGTATTACTGTTCATGTATTCGTTACCTGCTTCATCTCGTTGATAGTTATTGTAACGTAACTTGCCTGGATGGGGAGTGTAGGATGGAAAGAAAGAAGAAAATCCAGGTGCAAGTTAGTTCGCTCAGGTTTTTGAAGGACACAACGGTGACTTTGGGAATGTGGGTCAATAGATTTTGGATGGGGGTATATTAAAAAAATTAGGGGGAATTGAAAGTGCCTATGAAAATGACAGAATTTGTTACTAAATGAAAGGGGGGAAATAAAGGAAGCCACCTAGTCCTTTGTCGAGGGACGAGTTAAACTCGACACTTGACCTATGAGAAAATTGGTTTAAGAAAGACAAAAAAAAATAGACATCCTCTAAAAAACCATTCGCATACATGGTCAAAAAATACACACTTTCCTTATAATATTAGCTAATTTTCTTGTGTGTTGTTAAATTTCCTCGCGTTTTTTCCTCGTATTATTTTTCTTTAGTTGTACTTATTTTGGAACGGATTTTCTTTTGTGGGTCTTTGTACTTTGTTTTATATCTTGTTCCATCTATTAAACTTAATATCTCATTCACTCTTTTATATTATTTACTTTTAAGGTGTTGTTTACATAATACGGCTAACACTGTTTTTTTCTATTTAATTTCGTTGTTTGTTGAAATTAATAATTTTTTAGATATTGTATGGTAAATCGTACGTAGTTGCACTCTCATTATTGAGGGTAAGAGATTGTGATTAGATGAAATATCTACTTCCAGGTATGTTTTAGTTTATGTTATTATATCTCTGTCTGTTTCGTTGAATACTATCTAGCGTATTTGTTTTCTAACAGCGGGATGCCGATGTCTTGTGGCGATTTCCGTCCAGCTACCAGGTAGATCGAATAAGTGTTTCTTGAATACTTTGTCTACATAATTTGTTACTTTGGTGATAAGTCTTAATCAAAACAAAGTATTTGCTTAAAACTTCTGCTAAGTATCTTCGTTTGCTTAAAACCTAAGGTATAGTTTGTTTCACGAAAAATGGTTGAGTGCTTAATGGTTACCTGAGTTGATCCTATTGTGTATACAAGAGTCTCTCAATAAACTACCGAAGTACACAGGGTCGCACTTCAGAAAGTTTGTTATTTAATATATTTCATTGGTAGCTGTGTAATACACGATTATAAAAATTTATTAAATTATTTCATATGGTATTTTCAGGTTGTTCAAGTGAATATACTTGATAATTGAACAATTTTTAATATGAAGAAAGTAGTTTTTTTGTTCTACGTGAATAATTGTAGTATATGGATCTAAATTCAGAAAGGTACTTTCCTTCACACTTTTTACAGGCTTAGGACTGTCAGCAAAAAACTGGCGTGTTTAAAAGTTTTTGCTCTTCCTAATCGGATATCGTTAAAAATGTACAGTAATAATAGTTCTATTTACAGTATATACATACAAACGAATACATAATGTACAAAAAAATAGATGAATTGGAAAAAAAATATAGAAAAATATTTACTATTAAAAAAAAAGTTAATATTTACAAAAAAAAAATACCCAAAATAACCAAAATATATTTATGAATTCCTAAATACCTAATTATGTTTCGCTGTCGCTATCCTCTTCAAGATTAATAACAATTGGTTTAATTATGTGATTCAAAGTAACATATGAATTTTCTACGTTCATTACATGGCATACTGAATTTTTCCAACTTTCTGGGGAGATATCAACACATTTCCTTATTAATTCGACTACAGTACCACTTAAAGTCGGAGAAACATTTTGTGACCTAACATTTTACTTTAGTTGGTGCCGCATATGCTCTATGGGATTAAATAAACAATAGTAGGGCAGAAGCCGTAACACTGTATGTCCCACAAACATATACTTTTTTAATAGAAAATTATTTTAACACTTCTAACAGTTCATTTTTTAAATAACTTTCTTCATATATCGTTTTCTAACAGGTAGTTGTAGTTTTGAATTTCAATTTTCGTGTTATTTGCACTTGGAGACTTATGTAATTGACGACTGTGGTAACTTGCATTGTCCATTACTATCAAACTATTTTGAGGAAGGTTAGGTATAAGACAAGTCTTAAACCATTGCTCAAAAAGCTCTGCCGTTGTATCCTCATGGTAGTCCACGCAGGAGTCTTTAATGTTCTTTGCAGAAAGCCATAAGGCATTTGGGACCCAACCATTTTCTGATCCTGCATGTAAAATTGTTATTCTTTTCCCTTTGTTTGATGGAGCTTTTGTTTGACACCTGTTGGAAGAATCGGACCATCCTTTGGATGGTGTTTCATGAGTGTCAAACCATGTCTCGTCCAGATAAATTATTGGTCGATCTTCTGTACGGTACTTTCTTATGGAAGTTATATATTCAGTACGCCACTTTTGTAAACGATGGGACTCCATAAGTACTTGCCTTTTGTCAATTGTACGATATCTGAAGCCCATTTTAGACAAAATCCTCCAAAGACTAATGCGGCTACAGTTTATTTGTGTATCATCATTAGCAAGCCGTTGTTTTAAAGCATCTAATGTAGGTATCCGTTGCTCTTCGTACATTGTGTAAATTTTTCGTCTTATTAAGTCAATCACTTTCGTCAATACATTTGGTAGAGCCGGCATCCTTACGCTTCCTTCTTGACTTAATGGGATTTGATGTAATTCTTTTCACTGTGGTCAGTAAGTCCTCTTGTAAGTAAAGAACTATATATTGTTTTTACGATTTCTCTAGCGTCAGCAGATAAATGTTTTTTCTTTGCTGGAACACTGGAAGAAGCACCATCAATGTTTTTCCACGGATGCCACATAATGCTGTTTTATAGGTATAACACTAGTAACACTTTCAACTAAATGAAACAAAATGTATATTTAAAAATTTCTCATCGGTTTTATATACTTTTACAAATTATACAGAATAGAGGGAACCTGTATAATTATTCCAGGAATTACTTAACGATCAACAAATTTATTGTGGTCATTAAAAGATCAACCATTGATAGTGAACTTTATGAAATAAAATGTATTCTAATCGTTTTTATAATTTTATACGATTTTTTAATCGTTTTTATATTACCAGGAATTTAATATACAAACAAGATAACGACACTACACAGTAGCTTCAATTTTACCTGAATACTTACCTGCTCAACTAATGTTGACTAAGCTAGGGTACTTGCTGGTCGGGTTTTATTGCAATCATTAAGCACTCAACCATTTTTCGTGAAATAAACTATAACTATTTTGTCTTAATTTTCACAGGAGCAAGACATTGTTGAGCATTAGATTAAAATTATGTATTGGATGCAGTCGGGTATTAATCATGAATAGATAGCCTGTAGTACTATATAAAAGTCTACTATTCCTAGATGATTAATTGAGAGTTTTATGTTTTCAGAATCAACTGTACTCCGCACATTCTACGTAGATGAATAAATTTGGAAAGACTACCAACACTGTTACCTTACATTCTTAACTATAGTAGAATTCTTATTGATTGATAGTCAAAAGTACAAAATATTTAAATGTTCTAATGTTGTGTTTCCAGTTTAAGTGTCAATTTTAAAGCTATTGTAGATGTACATCATTTGATCTCGAACAGTTAAGCACTAATCGACATTGTTATTTACCTTTTCAAGATCATCAAGTAACTATCAAGTATTAATTTAAATTAAATAACCTGCAGTATATTTTGAATAATATACATACACTATTAATTGATATTTATGCTTCTATTTGACATTCTAAATGCGTTTTGCTATCAAACATTAAGAATTCGCTTAAAAACGTTTACTGTATTTTAATGTTTTTTCAATAATATACCAATATATCAAATGTTTACCAATTTAAACCTCTTCAAATGTTAATGTTCGATAAAAAAAACTCTTTAAGTAGTAAGACGAGAAGAGATAAACCATTGTGATGATATAATTATTGTTAAATTAGGAATATAAGTAATATTTATCCTAATAATAAGCAATAAGATTTAAGTGAAACGTAAAATAGTGTTTTTATTATTTACCTGTTCCTTTTTCTCTGCTGATACAAACTGGGTCGCTGTGTTGAACTATGGTTAGATAACCATAAAAGATAAACTACCTAATAGTAAACGTCCAAAATTGCCGTTCTAGTACTAGTAGATATCATCGAAAAGGGGTTGTCTTCGTAGATTTGAAACCGGTTACAACGCCTTTATGTACAATACAATGCTTCTCAAAATTTTGAATAGACTTTATGATTACATAATAGACGCTGTTTTGTTATGGGAAAATGTGTACTTGGGGAGAGCAAAATAACTGGGAAGTGTTTTAGCACCAATGTTTTTCAACATATATACACATGGTGCCTCCAACCTAAGCCGGTCCACACCAAGCACTTTCTTTATGCCGATCATCTTGCAATATATGTTCTAGGGATGTAGAAATTGGTTGAAAAGAAAATGCCGGAAAAACTATGATTGTTATTATCAACAAAATTCTCTAAAAACTAGTCCACAATTTATATCTTTCCACAGAAGCTAAGTTAAAACTTCAAATTACTTGGAATGGGAATACCTTAGAACACGCAGACCAACCTAAATATCTTGGTGTAGTTCTGAATAGGTGGTTATTCAACGAACAGCACTTTATCAAAAAGGGAGAAACTGATAACTAGAAACAATATATTTAGAAGGCTAACTGGTAGGTAGCAAATGGGATGCACGTGCCGGTGTGCAAAGAACAACGCCATAAGCACCAGTTGGTGGCGCTGTGAAGCCAGTCATCCGTATTTAAGCAGCGAAATTGCTGAAGAAGCAAACTAAAGCGAAGGTACTGTTCGAAGTATTTTAAAAAGAAATAGATACTGCTATTATAAAGTTCAAATCACTCGACAACTTTTTCATGAGGACAATATTAAACGAATGCAATTCTGTGAGCATATGATGGAGAAGCAAAATTATGATTAGAATTTTTTAAACAACATTTTATTTACTAACGAATCTACATTTTCTCTTCACAGGAGACACAATCCATACATTGTGCGATATTGGTTTCGGGAAAATAAATATCTAAGTATTCCTGTGCGTACACGATACCCACAAAAATTTAATGTTCGGTCGGGGATTTTTTAAAGGGCTTTTTTATTTGGGTTAATCTTAACGGCGCTAAATACCTCGAACTTCTACAAAATCTTCTCGGCAATTACGCAACTTCCTGTGAATTTTGGAGATATTTGGTACAAGCATGACGAATGTCCCGGTCATAATACTAGAGCCGTTACCGAATTTCTCTAGACATTTCTAAACCGCGTAATTGAAACAAACGGTACTATCAAGTGGCCACTAAGATTAGCAGATTTGTTCCCAAACGATTTCTTTTTTAGGGGCTTCTTAAATCAAATATTTATCGGCAAAATTTTGAACATGCCGAAAATTTAACGGGGTTACGGGTGAAGTCAGTGACATCTTTGGTGTAAGAATGAAAAGCTTTCGTAAGACGTAGGATGAGGTTCTGAGTCGTTAGTTTGAGATTGAGTGGGAGATTGATCTCTATAGATGCACATTGATGTGATTTTCGCGGTAACCGTTTTAGATGAGGGCTTGTCTTAAACTAGAGAGCTGAGCGGGTGAACTTGAATCATCGCAAAGGCGTATTGATCTGGAGAAAAGGGTATTAATGACTAAATTAATTTGTGGAGGTGGATGATGAGAGTTTTTATGCAAGTAACGATTGGTATGGGTCGATTTTCGGTATAGAGTGATGAAAATTTTGGGATTGGTTTTTCTTTATGATAACGTCGAGAGACAGTAGGGATGAATCAGGTTCTTCATCCAAAACGATTACCGCAAAAAATTCATCATTAAGAGCATCCACAGACATCAATCTACCTCTCAACTTAACGACTCGGACCCTCATCCTACGAAAGTTTTTCTTTCTTACATCAAAAGTCACTGACAAAATTCTTAAATCAAGAGGAATAAAGACAATATTTATTCCCCAACAAAAACTTTCATCTCTTGTCCGCTCAATCAAAGACAACATTTCAAATTACAACACGGAGTTTATGAAATTTCTTGTGCAGACAGCCCCCGATTTTATATAGACCAAACAAATCATAGAATCCAAAATAGGATTTATGATCATTCCATTTATGTTCGCAATTTCGATTCAATTTATGCTCTAGGTCAGTATTATCTTCATACAGGTCACAAAATTAATTTTCTTCTTTAATTAACTAATTTTCGCTTCTATAAACCAAGAATTATCCGAGAAGTCATAGAAATTTAAAAATAAACCAAATTGTCTCAATAAAAAGATGACGGCATATGGTTACCTTCGAAATGGAAACCTCTCACAAAGAAAATATCGTCCGCTCCACCCGACAATCAAAATCCTACTATCAGAAATGTTCGAGCTAATCCCCACGCCAACCTCCAACCTAACCACGTCACCATCGACGGTATAAATTAACCGTCTTCTGTTCCCAGTAGTAATACTGCATTGGTTAGTGATTAGTGTAGTTGTGTCTGGGGCCTCGGGAGACTGAGACCTGGGAAGCCCTGAACATTTCGAAACAGTAGCCCTGTCCTCATCAAATCTCAAACCCATCTGCTGGTTACGTACGTTGATGACACCTTTCTTTACTGAAGCGTCTTTGCAATTCATTGATGTTCTCATTCAGAAAAACCCACCTCGTCGTTTTTCCTATTCCGTGTACCGGAAACCGACTCATACAAACCGTTATATCAATACCCAGTCACATCATCACCTCGCCCAACTCAATTAAGTTATCAACACTCTTATTTCCCGTTCCATAATACTTAGCGGCAACAATCACAGGTCATCCGAAATTAATTCAATAAGACAAACACTCTTACAAAACGGCTACCACACAACCCAGATCAATAGGAGCATTCAAAAACAGCTAAACCGCTAAATTTCATCCAAAAATGTAATCTTGCCACCGGATCAACCCAAAATCTTTATAATATAAAATACCTTTTATTAAAGGTGTCACTGATAAGATCAGTAAAACTCTTATCCCTCTAAACATCAAAACCATCTTCACTACTCACTCCAAGTTGTCCAATCTCGTCAGATCCGTAAAAGACCAAATCCCCAATGAAGACCATGGTGTCTACGAGATACCTTGTTCCAGTTGCCCACGTACAAACATAGGACAGACAAACCGACGAATCCATAACCGTATTTACGAACATTATCAGTCAAACATTCCGATGCTACTTCAGCCCTAGCCAACATCATATTCAGACAGGCCACAAAATAGATTTCTAAAAAGCAAAAACCATCGCTTCGATCCGCTCCTTATAATCGTGAAGCCATCGAAATTGAAAAACGGCCCACATCGCTCAGGCCGAACATTTTTCATTCTTACTAAATCTTTTTCTAATCTTCTTACACGCAAATACCGTCTTCCCTGAGATCTTGCTTTCCTTAATTCATATCGTGACCATCAAGTCATTCCAAAATCTCTTCAATTTAAACTTTTTCTGTCACTCCTCTTTGCGTCCCAACTGAGAAAATTATGTATCAAACTGAAGAAGTTATTTCTCGTCTTCCTTCCGACCAAGCCGAAGTTGTCAGACAAGATGTCGCCAGAATTCTCCGCACTTCCAAACCTCCACCGTCAAATATCAGTCTTTCAGAGAGACGTGGCCTCAAAGGCGTACAAAAGAAGCGAAAGATACGAATATAAAAAGTTACAAAAAAATTTTACCTAAAAGGAATCTCGAAACACATGCCAAACTTCTCTTGCATCTGGATGCACATCGGAAAATAAAATAGAAATAGCTTCATTGTCTCGTTATTCTTTGTGGTGAATCCTGCTGAGATTGGGATGAGTCTAAGGAGAATCATTTGAGTTTTATTAGTAATTAGGTGAAAATTAATTTAAAAAAAACTAAATTTATGGTAATCACAGAAATTAAAGAACATCAGAGCTAATCTAATCGGGGGAAATCGAGATCAAGATTCAGAAAGGCGTAAGACAGGGTTGTATACTCTCACCGACCTTATTCAATCTATACTCCGAAGACGTTATAAACACAGCACTTTCGGATCAAAATATAGGTATTAAGATAAATGGCATCCGAATAAACAACTTGAGATATGCCGATGACACGGTACTAATCGCAGAAACTTGGGAAGATCTTCAAATACTAATTAACAAAATAGTAGAATGCAGTGAAGAACACGGATTATCACTTAACATAAGCAAAACAAAAATAATGCTAATATCTAAATCACCACAAAACTTCCCTGACATAACCGTGCATGATCAAAGAATCGAACGTGTAAGAAGATATAATTACCTGGGAACTGTTATCAACGAAAATAATGATTGCTCTGAAGAAATCAGAACCAGAATAGAGAAAGCTAGAGCCACATTTACTAAATTGAAAAAGGTGTTCTGCGGAAGAGATCTAAGTCTAAAACTTAAAATTCGCCTTTTGAGATGTTACGTTATGTCAGTTCTCCTCTACGGGATGGAAACATGGACATTGAAAAAGATCGATACCAAAAAGATAGAAGCATTTGAGTTGTGGATGTATCGTAGAATATTAAGAATACCCTGGACAGAGAAAGTAACAAATGTGGAGGTTTTGCGGAGAGTGCGGAAAGAGAAAGAGCTGATACTTACTGTTAAAAAGCGCAAACTACAATATTTGGGACATGTTATGAGGGGAGATAAATACCAGTTGCTGCAATTGATTATACAGGGAAAGATAATGGGAAAGAGATCTATAGGAAGAAGAAGGCATTCATGGTTGAAAAACTTGAGAGAAGGTACAATTGCACCAATTACCAACTGTTTAGATCTGCAGCATCAAAAATACGCATAGCTTTGATGATAGCCAAACTTCGGAACGAAGACGGCACTTAAAGAACAACAGCTAATCTTGTAATAGACAATACAACGATTGAGCGTGTGCCCTGTTATAAATATCTAGGTGCTTGGATCACAGACGATACTGATCAAACAAAAGAGATTAGATG